GGGATCCCTGGGTGTGCTTCACTATAGTCAGCTCCTCGGATCGTTTGGTAAGGCCCTTGGTCTTACACTGTCACAAATAGATCAACTAGACAAAAAAATCACAAAGAAATATCAAAACTGAACCAAACTTTTGAACAAACGGACTTAGTAGATGTCTACAGAGTGTTCCACCTCACAACATCAGAATACACATTCTTCTCAGCTGCACATGGGATTTTCTCCAAAATAGACCACATACTACCTCATAGAACATGCTTAAGTAAATGAAAGAGAATTGAAATTGTCCCATACATATTATCAGACCATAATGCAATGAAATTGGAAATCAATGGCAAAAGAAACCATAAAACTCCATAAAAACATGGAAATTACATAACATCATCCTGAACAATCAATAGGTCACAGTAAAATTAAAGAAAAAATTAGACAGTTTCTACAATTAAACAATAATGCTTATAAAACATACCAGAACTTATGGGATGCAATGAAAGCAGTCCTATGAGGGAAATTTACAGTGGTGAATTCACATATCAGAAAAAGCAGAGTGAGCTCTCACAAAGTTTATAGTATAGCAGAGAAAATGAAGTGGGCAGGTAATTGACATTTAGAGAGACATAATTGTGAGAATGTATGAATATATGTAATTATTATGAGTTAGAGTCAGATTTATGCTCAATAAATTAAGTAGAGTGGTCCCTAAATGAAATAAATTCACATTACTGATATATTTACTATACTGCCTGAGCCTGATGTTGCTCCAGGAAGCTTTTTAAATGCAAATGTTCAATCCTTAGGGCAGACTAGTTGAAATGAAATATTGGGCTTGATTTAAAGCTTACCCCACCCTTTAAAAAAAAAAAAAAAGTGCTGTCCAGGTGGTTACAATGTGCATGCAGAATGAGGAACCGCTTTTCTAGAATCTTTGCCTACCTGCCAAATGTCAGCTTCCTTAGAAGCTGCCTACGCTTTTCTCCTTATTTCTCTCCTCCTGCTCATACTCAGTCTCCTATGGCTTTAGAAATCTTTCCATGCCCAACTGCCTTATGGTTCATCCAGCCAGAGACCCAGCCAGCCATGTCCTGAGGTGACTCTACAGCTTATTATACGCTGGATGCTCTTCCAAGAAACTGAATCCTCCTAACAGCCCTGAGATAAAGCCTGTAGCCACACATCGCTAAGGAAGAACCTGGTCAGGCACTTGTCCAAGGTCCCCCAGAAATATATACAGAGCACACTAACTAACAATGAAGGTCAGAAATCAAGTGATTCCCTTTCTCTAGCAGGAAACACAATCTTCCAGGGCAAATCAGCTTCACTAATGTATTTAGTCAGTGATTCAAAAAGAAATGAGGTGGCAATGCTTAAAAATTGTGAAATTTCATAGGAAACTCGTATTTCCAGTTTCTAGTGGAAAATAGGAAAATCTGGGGCTGTGCTTTCCTTAATGGGTAGCTGGGTGTAAGTAAGCAAAAGCCACCCTTCCAGGCACATGGCCCCATTTTAGGTTTGCTTCAGACTAACAGCCTGCTTCTCTCACCTTTGGACATGCCCGCTTGACCCTGAAGGCTTCTGAACCCATTGCTCTCAGGCTGCTCGATGTAACACAAATTCCTTAAGGCAAATTTGATTCTCTTCCTACTCCTTCCTCTTCAATTCAGAACTACTGAATAACTTATGATCTCAGTGCTTCTGAGTTTTTCTTCCTGTTCTCTTTGTCTGGAGGAGGAAGAATAAATTAACTCAGGCTGAGGTAGTCTCAAATTATGTTTCCAAGTGTGGAAGGATTTGGCTAGACAAAAGCCATAGTGCAAATGATATATCATCTTCCCTGTAGTTTTAGCCTATTCATGAAGTGAAAAAAATGGGCTTACTGCTACTGATAGAAGGGGAATATTTCTTCTGTATGTCTGTCTTTCCAAGTGAAAGGAGCTCTATCATAAATATACAACTGGCTCATCCCAAACTTGACTCACTCTTCCCAAGGGAAGAGTGCATTTGGGGGAGTTTATAAGAAAGAATTGGGAATGCACACCCAACCCTTTTATCTCCTTTTCTCCCATAAGCTAGTTTGCTGACAGAAACCTTGTTTCTCTTTGTCCCTGTCATGTGGTGAAAGGACCCTGGCACAGTAACAGATGCAAATAAATCTAGATGGGTAAACTAGTGTTTATTTGCATACAAGGGCCACAATTGTTCCTCACATTGTATCCAGCCTTATTAAGTAGTCCAGACAACTTCTGAGGCAAAGACCTGCAGCCAAAAGGGAGAGTAGATGGGAGGGGGCGTGGGGGATGCATCTGGACATGAGCTTCCAGTCATAATCTCCCCTACTTCTCTGTTCCTGTCTTGTTCTGTAGAAGACAGTCATCAATCTTTACCCATCCAGCATTTGACTCCTCAAAAACGAGGCAGAATCCACACCCACTCTGGACTCTGAAATGCCAAAGCGTTCCTTTTCCATCCTCCCCTGTAGCAAGAAGGCCCTCTCCACTGCAGAATCTGAAACTGAAGTTTCCCTGAACACAAAGTTTCTACCAACAGCTCCGTGGAACTTTTAAATGTCTTATTCATCATCAGAGTACTATATGCAACATTGCTTCTGCATGAGAGACTCATTTTACCAACAAAGAAGAAAAGATATTTAAGAAATCTTGTCATACACCCTATCACACAAGAACTCCTGGCCTTTTGGAGCAGCGAGAGTCTCTTTGAAAACCCCATTATATTGCCAGTTACACTATCTTACAGGGCTGAGTTACAGTTATGCCTGTAACCTGTAGTATATGCTCTGAGGCACAACATAATGCATAGTCTATTTCTTCTGCAGCCAGAGTACTTTGCTCTCCATTTCCACACTCTGAACCTTAATGGTTCAGAAAATTTAGTGACCAAGAGAAGAAGGTTCCTCTAAGACATATATCCCAATTTTCTTTCAATGAAAGCTATGTCACCAATCAGGCTTCTCCATTACAGGAACTGAAAAAAATGAGATTTAAATTGTTGTTCGGGGTGATTACTTTTGACAATTGAGAAGAGGCTGGATTGCTTACCCCAAAATGGGGACAAGGGAGGCAGTCTCTAAAGCTTAGGAGAGCTATTATTATACTTCTTAGTGCTACTGAGTTGTCTAATGGTAAAAGTTAATGAAAGATAACATCAGCTCAAGTAAGCAGAACACAAAGAACTCTTACTCCTCAGGAATGAATATTTGGGTCACTCATCTAAGTGAGAATGTCAACAGCCAAGGAGCTGTCTGAGGTCAAAAGCAATAGGAGATGAGTAGTAGAAAACTAATAATTTCATAAATGCCAAAGGTAGTCTTCTAAATAATCACAGCAAATCAGTGCTCAGCATCTACCAGCACCTTTTCTTCACTGTCTTGCATATGCACAAACATATTGGCTAATTTTCTTTTTGTTCTCTACCCTGCTATGTTTTATAAGACAGATGAGTGAAAGTTATCTTCATAAATTATTTCCATAGAATATTGAATATCAAAATGGGATTGTGACTAGACTAGAATAAGTGTGGGAAACCATGGATCACTGCTATGGTTTGGGTCTGGAACATCCCCCAAAGGCTCATGGGTTGAAAGCTGAGTCCCAGGTGGTGACACTATTGGCAGGTGGTGGAAACTTCAGGAAGAAGGGCTCTTTGAAGGAAGTTGGTCATTGAGGGCACACCCTACAAAGGATATATTGGGACTCTGGCCCCTTCCTCTTGCCAGTTTTGCTTCCTGGCTGCTTTGAGGTAAGCAATTTTTTCTCTGGAATGTCCTCTTCACCATGATGTCCTCCACCATGATGTTCTTCCTGGACAGAGGCCTAAAAGCAATTAGAACCAGCCAATTGTGAACTGAAACCTCTAAAACTGTGAGCCAAACTAAACTCTTCCTTCTTTTAAGGTGTTTATCTTGGATATTCTATCACAATAATAGAAAGCTGACTAATACAGATACCTTAGACCTGGACTTGGGTTTAGCAACTGAAATTATTTTGTGTTGGCTTCCACATGGGAGGAGATAAAAATGTTTTAAATTTTATGATCTATATTTACATTGCGTTAGATGAGATTTCTGCTTATTATATTTGTGACAAAAGTGAAAGTGGGAAATCAAAGTTGATATGCTGATGTTGAGCAGCCAAATCAAGAGCATCTGTCATGACTGTTAAC